CCCTCGAGCATTACATACCTATTGGCTTGAGTTTTTAGGCAGAGGTAACATCAGCAGAGTGACCACCTCCCTTTCTTCAACAATCACCAGTGGGGTAATCTCCTCTAGTTCAGAATCTTCTAAGGTTAGATCCTTCTCCACTTCCATCGCTCCTTGTCCCTCTCCCGGAGGCCAGATGGACGTTAAGAACTCATCTCTAAAGGTAGGTTGTACATCTACACGAATTTGTCTATTTCCCACAAATCCTGGCTCCACCTCTTTACCACGCTCCAACTGATCTCTCCCTTCTATTAGTAGCAACATTTGTCAGGTTTGTCCCTTCTAAGTCCAAGTCCACCAAAACCCTTCTTACAAGAAGCCCCGCCTGAAATCAAGTAGGCGTAGGCTGTTTGTTCCTACCAGGTCACCCGAGCCCCCCAAACCCGCACTGATAATCTCATTGATCCCCATCGGGTTAATTTCCTCTGACCCACCATCTTGGCCCTCCCTGACCCCCATTAGCTGGTTCCCACTTCAACTCCTTCAAATAGTTCATAATAGCTTTTTTTAACTCCTCATTTGAGATGCCCATCTTAGTTTGAGATGCGCTTAAATTTTGAAATTCAAATCGCACAACCCCTTGGCCATTGGGTCTACCGAACAGGCAAGGGGAGTTTGATGTCCCTTCGAATTCGTTTTTCAGAAGATCCTGGATGAGCCAAACTGGTTCTTGAACCGGGTTCCCACAGCCCCCTGTCTTCCTCCACTGTCCTCCTCTCAGGCGACTTCTCTGCCATATCACTTTTGTTGTCCTCATCTTCAATGACCACCTTTCTACTAAAGACAGAATCCTCCCCCGCCCTAGCCCCAGAAGCTTCTTCTTACCTCAGTCTCATCTTCCTCCCACCTTTCCGCCTCCCATAAAGGTCTTCTCTCTTGCCAGATCTAGACCGAAAAGCTAGAATCACCATCATGATTTTCTCCAGAATCTCTCCCCGTGCTTTTACTTTGATTCGCACCAACTCACAAGTTTTCAACTCCTCAATCGAGTTGTTCATTCCTAAATATCCCCCACATAGGTTTCCTATACGGCTGTACCTTCAATGACGCTCGAACACCAAAGTAACAAAGGTAGGCCTAACACCTTAATCTAGGTCTCCTTCGAAACAAAGTAGTCTTCAAGAATTTTCAATACCTCACAGCATGCTTCATCCAATCACCAATCTATTGTCAATCATGCTTGCCCAAACCACCAAGGACCATTCCACAGCACCCAGTCAGCCTCTGCTTCAAAAGGGAAGATAAAAAGGTAGTGATCTTCAATAAGCTTCTTAATCCCCACCTTTTGCTCGCCCAAGATTCTATTTCCTCCATCTTCAACCTTCGATCAAAACACCATACTAAATTTCCCTTCAGGAAAAAGCTTCTTGCTTCTACTCCTTTAACCTCTGTTTCCAAAAAACAATACTCTCCCTCCCTACGCACCTATGTTTTTCCAAAGCCCGGCCAAACTCCCGCTACTGCCGTATTTCTAAAAGAGAGGTTGTTTCTTAGTTCTGATCCCTTCCTAAAAGGGTTATACCATGTATCCACCCCTGACCTTCCACCTCCTTTGGAGGGGAAATCCTGTCTTGCTTTCATCCTCCCTTTCCTACCCCAAATCTTTCTTCCGAAATTCCTCTAACCTCACCTTGCCACACCACTTGAGAGAACGTCAGAACTGGGGTTCACCGCTGCTCGCAAGACAACAGTCACCTCGTCATTGGAGGGGATGCCAGATCTGGGATACCCTTCACCAACATCGCTCACTCAAACACCACTGCCGCTCACCCTTCATGCAGTGCTAATTTATGCACTATTTCCTCGCCAGCAATAGTATTTGCTAATGGTAACTACTGTTATACCAAGCAATGCAGTTGAGATTACATGCAAAACTGCTCCAAATCCCGCTGCATAAAAGGAATATTTGAGCCCCAAAGGAAGTCTTAAATATTCCAATGGCCATTGTGCCACCTCACATCCCAAGATATTTGCATACTCCAGCATCTCCCCTTCTTCCATATTAACACCCACAATACAACTCTTGTCAAAGTTCACCTTGAGATTGGAGATTAGCTCAAAAAGTTGTACTGTCAACTCGAGATTCCTAACTCAATTCCTATTACTGCCTTCACAAAACAGCAAAGTATCATCTGCAAATTGCAAATAGTAATTGGAACATTGCCCCGACCAACCTTCCAGAATGCTTATTGCTAGGGCAGACTCAAGAATTAGAATATCCTGAGATAAGATGTCATATGTGACAAAGATTACTACTTTTTAATTTTTTAAGTTTATAAAACTTAGAGAAGACATGTGCTGATCTACTAAAAGAATTTTGTTAAATGTGCAATACTGCACAATCTTCACTTTGTCTTGCCCTAAGGTTCTTAACCAAGAGTCCAAAATAGTTTAAAAACTTAACAACTGAATAGGTATGAATTCTTTTATATTTTCAGTAAGATCACCAGGTGAGTTTTCAGGTGGCTTGGCTCTAAAGATTGCCATGTGTAGCTCACCCAAATTTAGGGTGATTTTGAACTAATAGGTAGGTGTCCAACTCCTAATGCCTAATGGATTGATTCAGGGCAATTCACGAGCCAACCAAGTTATCCTACAATGGCAAGAATAATCAAAGACAAGGCATTAATGACTGAAAATTTGTAGACCATATCCATATTGACATCTAAAATACTGTCTCACTTGTCAATGAGGAGAATTAAATGCCAAAGAAAATATTACTTGTGAAATTATAACATATTTCCTTAAAAAATATTAAAGCTAAAAAGGAAGAAAGCTTTTGAACTTACATGAGAATATGTGTCCAAATCGTAACACCCCCAGAGTATTAAGAATGTGTAAAGGAGTATAAGAGACATATTCACATATACATGCACAAAAACCAATAAACAAAAGAACCAGGGTATTGTGGTGCAACACCCCTGGTTTGTAGAAATTATAACATATTTGCTTAAAAAATATTAAAGATAAAAAGGAAGAAAGCATTTGAAATTGCATGAGGATATTTGTCCAAATCTTAACACCCCCAGAGTATCAAGCATGTGTAAAGGAGTATAAGAAGCATATTCACATATACATGCACAAAAACCAAAAAACAAAAGAACCAGGGGTATTGTGATGCAACACGCCAGAACATGGAATAATAAGAACTGAGAAATATGCACCTGAGCTTTCTTTTCTTTTGCTCTCCTCAATTTCTTCAATTCTTTTGATTTTGCTTTCCTTTTGGCATCTTTCTCCGCCTAAACATGCATACAACCAAATATGATGTCAGTGTTTTAGAAGTTAACAAGCATAGAGAACTATTCCTCAGTTTGTTGTATAAGTTCCAAATTAATTCATCATTCATTGCAGTGATTACCTGATGGAGCATTCAGAATCTCAAAGGTCAGAATTAAAGCACAATACCATAAAACATCCAAAGGTTCAAATTAAACAAGTCTTTGGTTATTCAGATTTTAAATCTAGATAAACAAACTGAGAAAAAAATCACATAGATGACTTGATGTGGACGCATTTATTGGGAGGAAATACCACCGCCGGCAGCAGCAGTGATCTGGTGTTCTCATCCTATCCAGTTTGGCAGCAGCAGTATTCTTATCTCATCTTATCAGCCCAGTCCTATCTTATCTAATTACAGTTCTTATCTTATCTTATCAGTTCAGTAGGATAGATTAAGGGAGTCTTATCTTATCTTATCAATTCAGTCTTATCTTATCTTATCAGTTCAGTAGGATAGATTAAGGATGTCTTATCTTATCTTATCAGTTCAGTCTTATCTTATCAGTTTAATAGGATAGAGTAGAAGATTAGCAAGGAGTCCTCCTAAAAGTAGGATTCTACCTCTTGTAATCTCCTATTTAAGGAGCTGATATTATT